AGATATATGTGGTATGTAACATATGTAATGTAATGTTAAGTGTATATTGTTTTGTGATGTATTGATATTTATAATATAATAAAAAATAATTTAAAAAGAGAATCATTCAACTGAAAGGCAGGGTATGGATACTCAAAATTAGAACAAAACGTAGATTATGAGGACTGAGGGCTGAACTAGATTGCAAGAAGAATTTTATGGAGATCACAAGCCAGCACAGCAGCATCCAAATTCAATCATCAAGTCTTGCTGAGCTTGTGCAAAACCTCTCTCTCTCTCCATCAGGGTGGAGGGCCCTGTGAATCCATTATTCAGGCACAGCCATACCACACACACTTAAAACTGGTTTGATTGAAAGAGGCTTAGCACCGCTCATCCCAAGGCGGGACTGGAGAAATCTTTTTACCGCAATCTGTCAGAGGCGGCATGCCAGCCATGGGTGGGATCAGAACGAGAGCAGAGTCTGCAGTTTTTCTAAGACAGAACTCCTGAAGAACTGGAGAATGCTGGGAACTGTAGTTTCCTCTTTGAGATCTTTCGCAGAACCACAACACGGTTGATTGGGCGGTACATAAAATGCCAAAAATAAACAAACTACCATTTCCTTTGGCAGGTTGGCAGAGGGTACAGTGGTACCTCAGGTTACATACGCTTCAGGTTACATATGCTTCAGATTACAGACTCCGCTAACCCAGAAATAGTGCTTCAGATTAAGAACTTTGCTTCAGGATGAGAACAGAAATTGTGCTCCGGCAGCGCGGCGGCAGCGGGAGGCCCCATTAGCCAAAGTGGTGCTTCAGGTTAAGAACAGTTTCAGGTTAAGAATGGACCTCCAGAACGAATTAAGTGCTTAACCCGAGGTACCACTGTAGTTTTAAATAGGAGCTTTAATGCCATCTTGTAGAAGTACTGCTATCAATTCCTATTGGCAGTGTGTAGACAGCCAAGTCTCCCGGGTTTTGTTAGGTGTTCTTCTAAGTAACACTGGGAAGGGTTTAACAAACCAGCAGTGCCCAAATGCCAGTGGCTGTTAAGGACAGTAGCATTGTGGGTAACTGTTGACCCCTGTAAGAGACACAGCAGAGGGCCATTCCTTTAGCATTGAATAATACAGTGTATTCTCCCATTTCCTGATCAGGAACTTTTTCCAGTAGAGGGGTCATATCTCCTTCTCAGCAATCTTCTGGGGACCGCATGCCAGTGGTGGGTTGAACCAGAGGCAAGAGGAGGCAGGGCAATCGTGCGATTTCTACCTCTGTACCAGCAGTCCTGCCTTTGCCCGCACACACAAGCCCACCTCTATCCTGGCAAGTAAAAAGCATAATCTGAGTTCAAGGACACATTCCAGCCAGGCAAAAAACACTTATGGAATCATAGGGTTGTAGAGTTAAAAGGGACCCCAAGGGTCATCTAGTCCAACCCCCTGCAATGCGAGAATCTCAACTGAAGCATCCATGAAAAAACCTCCCATGAAGGAGAGTCCACCACCAGAGTCCGAGGGAATATGTTCAACTGCTGAACAGTTATTACTGCCAGAAAGTTCTTCCTGATGTTTCTTGTAACTTGAAGCCATTGGTTCAGGGCCTACCCTCCTACTTGAGGAGGGTGCAAAACACAACGGGTGAGGGGTTTGGCTTAGGAGGGCATGTGGCCTAGAGTGAGTCCCAAGGGCCAGACAGAGAGGCCATATTTCCCTACTGAACAGGATTGTGATTATCCATCCCTTCCACTCCATCCCTCCTTTTTTTACCTCAAATATTCCAGCCACCTTCTCTTATCACACCTCAGTTCCCTCACAACTCCACTGCAAATTATCCACCTGTCCCATCACTCAAACACCAAGCGCATGCTCAGCTTCAGCATGAACACCGCGCACTCATCTAATCCATGGCCAGACCCCCTCCCCAGTTTTCTGCCCTTATTTCTTAGTCATTTGCACCTAGACCATCAGTTGTTCAGGAATCCTATTCTTACATGCCCAAAGGCCTATTAAATTATTCTGCCAGGTTTTGTTCTTAATTTCCGTTGCCTTGATTCAAGGAGTTCCTTGGAATGCAATTGTGGTGTTATGCTCCTTCTTCAGTCAAAGTGTTTATGTAGAACTAACTTTTCCATTAAAAACCCTTATTTAAATTTTGTCTGGAGAGTATGGTTTGGATTAAATCCAAGTACATTAATCAGTGGTGTACTGGTAAATAATTGAAGCACAGGAACTCTTCATAACTATGGATTCCCTTAGGTTTTCAGCAAGATTGAAGGCAAGAACATGTTTGAGGCAGGAGAGAAGGCCTTTTCAGCTCCAGAGGCCAAATCATTATAAGGATTGGCCTTGCAGGCCAAATCTGACAGGTGTATTACTACAAAGGTTGGCTACATGAGTGCGAGAGGGAAAATTTCTAGGCCACTACTTGTCATCTTAGCCATAATATCCACTACTTATCAATTCACACAGCATTATTCTTAACAAAACTGAATTGCTTTTGAGAAGATGCCTTCTGAGCACATTTGCCTATCTAAACACACTTGTTTGGAAGTCAAGCCCCAATGAAATCAATAGCCCATTTCACATACAACGCTAAGCCATGATTTAACATTGAAAGAAGGAACCACAGGAAAACTGGGCTGGCACACTCCTCCATCCATAGCATGGCTGTGAGAAGATTGGAAACTTCTACTTCTGTTTTAAATTAAGCACAGTTTAGCGTTATGTCCAGACCCTAAACTGTGGTTAATCCAATCTACAGACAGAGAAACAAACCAGCTTTGTAAAACATGTTTTGAAGCTGTCATCTTTCCACTAAATATAGCAAAGTCTAACCACAGTTTGTCAGGGTTTGGACACTACAGCAAACTGCGGTTAGTCTAAAAAAGAACGGGAAGTTTCCAAATTCCTCCTTGGGGCAGCACTGGAGGAGCACTGCAAACACAAGGTCTTCTGTGGCTCATTCTCTTAATGATATCCCATAGGGCAGAGATAACCAATGAGATGCCCTCCGGACAGCAGTGGACTCTGGTGATATGGCACCCTCAGCGATGACAAAATTTGGTGCCCCCTCCCAATATTTATTATTTTCATGCTCTTATCCCTCTTGCCTTCTGTTCTGCAAATGCTCTCAAGTGCACTGGGTCATAGTTGCAGTAACTCAATCACCCATCTGATCAAGGCCTCATGTTGAGTAAGGTAAAGGGACCCCTGACCATTAGGTCCAGTCGTGGCCGACTCTGGGGTTGCAGAGCTCATCTCGCTTTATTGGCCGAGGGAGCTGGCGTACAGCTTCCGGGTCATGTGGCCAGCATGACTAAGCTGCTTCTGGCGAACCAGAGCAGCACACGGAAACGCCGTTTACCTTCCTGCCAGAGTGGTACCTATTTATCTACTTGCACTTTGATGTGCTTTCGAACTGCTAGGTTGGCAGGAGCAGGGACCGAGCAATGGGAGCTCACCCCATCGCAGGGATTCGAACCGCCGACCTTCTGATCGGCAAGTTCTAGGCTCTGTGGTTTAACTCACAGCACCACCCGCGTCCCCTAATGTTGAGTAGGTACCTGTATAAATATAGGTGGTGGTGGTGTTGTTGTTTGGCAGCCCCTCAGCTCAGCACCCTATGCAGGGGAGCATCCTACACCATTATAAATCCTGTACCACTCCAGATGTCACTCATCAGCCCCAACCAGCATGGCCAATGTTCAACACAAAAGCAACAGCACAAGCCTAACACAGCTGGCAAGACTTACTTCCAAATATAAAAGGTTAGGCATCAGTCTGCTAAGATTTGAATAGTATTTGCACATGCATTAACTATAGTGCTTAGTGTCCAATGCCCTGCATAACAAATTGAAAGGTTTATTCAAGTGAGGACCCCAAAATCCACCTCTCATCCTACAATACCCAATATATTACCCATGGCTTTTCTGTTTGTATAAAGTCCAGAAAGCATGTGGCCAGACTGAGTGGCTGCCGCATCTCCATCAACTTCTCATACCTTGGCTACTCAAAGTCTGAACACCTTTTAGAGATGATATGCTAAGTTTTATCTGAACCAAATTTGGCGGCTGCAGGCAAGGCGATAAGGAGGATAGTTTTTCACTTGGCAATCTGATGCGTGTAACATTACAAAGGCACGTGCGTGCACACATTTCGTCCTACTGTCAGCATGCTAACCAAGTTCCCGTACTCTGCTAAGCTCTCGAGACAGAATGAGCTCAACATGTAGGCAGATATATAAAATAAGTATGAGATCACATCAGCTTTGTATCAGGGTTTAGCAGAAGTGACTCAGAATATTTATATGGATCCAATCACCGAAGAACAGCAAATTAAGCACACACACACACACACACACAAAACTACACATACACTAACCAATATTTTTGGCACAGATATTGTTCAGCGAGGGAGAAAATTGCAAAGACCTAAGAATCATCATTTTCATCACCACCTTACAAATGAGGACTTAAAACTGCTGTCATCGCTATCCCTGCTATGCTTTCTGTGGTGCTCAAACTATCAAACAGGTAACAGGAGAAAACTAAACATTAAAGGCTGAAGGGGAAAACTTTTTATTTTATTTTACTAAATACTGTTTAATTTAGAAACTCCACACAGTCCATTTATTCAGCCTTATAACAGAGCAGGAGGGAGAATCACAACTTCCACTTCAATGGCACAGCTAGCGAACATTTTGCAATGATGCATTAGTATCAGCAGCAAAACTGTTCTGCACTCAACCAGCCATAAAAGAAACTGGGTTGTTGTTTTTAAAACAATCAGATCCTCAATACAGCTATTTGGGACCCAGCATTTCAGCTACCATTGCCTGACCTGCACTCATCCAGATCTCGTATGCATCCCTGTGACATCTTCTGTCCCAAAGCGCTTTTCTTACATGCTAATGAACTGAACCTGGCAAGAACCCTGGAGACAAGGAAGCTGTGTCTGTCTATTTGTTTGTTTGTTTTGCTGCAGATGGTGAAGCCTAGACAATAGGAGGCCAGAGCCTTCACTCCTGCCCAGGAGACTCTATGGAGAAGCAAGAGCACATCATAGCCAAGCTTTCTGTTAGCACAGGAGCCAAGAAGCAGGAATTCCTAAATGACAGGCTGGTACCACGAACAGAACAGCTCGTGCTGCTGAGTACTGGGGGGGGGGGGGTGAAAGTGTCACAAGAGGCACAGGTAACACAACGACTGCACCTCTGTGCTAACTGAGCACAGACACCTGGTTCCATACTTATAACTACTTTTTTCTGAGCTATACTCTCCCAAAAAATATGCGTTGAAAAATGTGGGGTGGGGGTTTTTCCTTAACCACCCAGATTGCTAGCATGGCTGGGCTGTTATTATGGGTTAACTTTAACCTACGTAGCGTGACTTCTGTTAAGCGTGACTTCTGTTAAGCGAGTTGTAAGTCAAGAGGACAGGTGTCAGGTTGCAAGACAGGATCAACAGGCCTCAAACAAAGCCAAAATCCCACAGGTGGGTTCCCCCTTGGACTGATCTCTAAGCTTCTTGCTATTTCCAATGCACACACACACACAGAGAGAGAGAGAGGTAAGTGGATTTAAAGAAAACTTACCATTCAGTCCATTAGGGATGCTCCGGTGGTGAAGCGGTGCAGAGAGGTCATCCATCGACCTCCGGATAGCTCCGGCCTTGTTCTCAACAGGCTTGTGATGGTGAAGATGGTGGTGATGGTCTGGGCTCCCTGCGCTGCCAGTGCTGGAGGTACTGCTCCCATCTCCAACATCCCTGGTTCCAGAGCCCCCGTTCAGGTTGGTGAGGCTGGCTTGGCTGTCTATCGAACTCCGAGAGCCCGCCCCGTTCCTCTCCTCGTCCAACATCAAGACAATCTCCTTCAGCTCCATGTTCTCCCTCATGAGGGAGTCCTGCTTGGCTTCCAGCTCCTTCAGCTTCTGCTGGTACATCCCCACCTCCTTCCACATCACGCCGGCCGTGTGCCTCCCGAACCTCTGCCATTCCCTGGACAGCTTTTTCCCCTTCTGCCGGTCGTCGTCCAGGAAGCAGCAGAGCTCCCTCAGTTCGTGGTTGTCGTCCTGGAGCTTTTGGTTCACTTCCTTCAGCCCCCTGATCTCGTGCAAGTGAATCTGGAGCCTCTGGTTCACGTCCTTGATCAAGTTGCCGTGCTCCACCATCAAGTTCATCTTTTCGCTCTCCAGTTTCTTCAGCCTCTTCACCAGCTCTTCCTTGCTGCACCTCAACATGTCCTCTTCTGTCACTTTGCTCAGGTCTTCCTTGGACCCTTCCACAGAATTCTTTGCCATGTTTGTATAGAGCCACTTCTACTTTTACTCCTTTAAGAAAACTGCCCTTCACAAAAATTAAATAAAATTGTTTTTAATTTTTTTTTAATCCTTCAGGTCAAAATGTTTTTTTAATGCAACATCTTGGAGGGTTTCTTTTTTTAAAAAAACACAACACAAACACACACAAAAACCCCAGTTCACTATAATTCTTCAGGGAAGAGCACAACAAGGAAGAAGAGCAAATCCACTCATTTCTGTAAATCGCATTCTCCTGCCTACAACTCCCATGCCTTAAAATTCGACGCCAAAAAAATAAAAAAGCCACACAACCCAAATTAAAAAAGGATCAGCTCCGAAAGCTCTGTAGCTATTTTTTCTCTCCAAGTGAAGCAATCAACTTACCAGAGGTTAATCAAAACCACAGCAAGCCGCGCAGGAGCGGGCGGGGGTGGGGGGGCAGTTGCTGGCTCGTAGATCAACCTGCTTTAGGTCTTTGCCCGTTTTACTTGCTCCAACATCGCTGCCACCTCGATCCCCCGCTGCAAAATAAAACAAAAAAATCTTGCGCTAGGGGCACTGAGCGCGCACCCTCGGCGATCCAGCCTCCTGCCCGCAGCAGCTTGGAGAGTTATAGCAAAACGAAACAATAATGCTTAAAAATTAAGAAGCAGATCCCTTCCGCCTTCGTTTTCTTCGCTTTCAGTTCCGAGGCAGGGTGATATCAGTGCCCTTCTTCTGTCTCTCTCTTTTTTGGGGGGGTCAAAACTGCATTTAAATTTCACAGCGAGAAGGTGATGGCGAGATGGGGTGGAGGGGAGAGCATTCCTTTAATGGAACAGGAGAGCCAGGGGGAGAGGGAGAAAGAGAGCTTGAAACGAGGCGCCGCCTCCTCGAGGGGAGGAGAAAAGGAGGTGGGAGGCTCCGGGAGGAGGAAAACCTGGAATGCAGCTGGAGAAGCGAGAAATAGAAAAACGAGTGCGGCGGAGATCGAGAGAGAAAGAGAGATCTGCAAGCGCGCAGACGCCCCTCTCCCCTTGCAGCGCCCTGCTCTCAGCAGCCGCCGACCCCTGCACGGTTTTGCATGCGGGCAGATGACGGAGCCAAGCTCCTCCCGCTGCCTCGCGATGGCTCAATCCAGAGGACCCTGGGCAAAGGCGGCTTCTCCTCCCTGCCCCTAAGCCCGTTCAGGTTGCCTTCCCTTTCCGCCCCGGGGTCAGGTTACCGGGGAGAAGCGGCGCTGCTGGCGCGCCGCAGCCAATGAGGCGGCGGCAAGGGCGCAGTTCGAAAGAGCCAGGTGCGCAAAAGGGAAAGGTAGACTCGCGGCGCGCCTCGCTTAAAGGGGCCGCGCGCGCGCCCCTCTCCCCCCCACCTCACACAGCAACCGGGAGCATCAGCAGACAAAAGGAGGCTTCCCCCCCCTCCTGATCCTTCTTCCTCTCTTATTCTTTTCTCCTAAAAGTCACCTCTAATCCGCGCCTTCGAACCCAGAGCAGGGAAGGGATCGCAGGCAACCGTGCGCAACGGACCCAGAAAGGAGCACAACTTGGGAAATCCTCGATTTGTTGTGGCCCCAGCCTCATTTTATTTTTCTCATTTCGTGTTAATCGGCTCGGGAATTTCTTTGGTCTGTGCAAGCGGGGAAGATAGGGGGGGAGGGGCGGTCCGTTTTGAGGACGGCGAATGGAATGGTTAAGTTTGTGGGGTGGGGATATTTTTGGGTTCAGATCGGATGGGAGAAACAGCCGAGCAGGCAGAAATTGGGAGCAGTGTGGGGCTCCCAATGGGGGGGGCGGGGTTGTAACGCGAGGGAAAGGGGCGCGCACCCGCATCCCAGAGGATAAAAAAACACCCAGGGGTGTCGGAAACGTGTCTACTTTCGTGGACTTTGGTTCAGCGTCAATCTCACACGCCAAGAAGCAAAGCCAATAAAGGATTTTTTTATTTTTTAAAAAACCACCCATAAATGTGTTCTGGAGCTTTTCTCTGGTTTTTTTTTATTTTTACATTAAAATAAATTTCCTTACATATTTCTCTTTTTCGTCTAACCAGACCCAAGGAAAGGTTTAAATACAAAAGGAAGGTACTGTGATCCTGCTGGGGTTCCTCCTTTAAAATAAATAGGCTTGGCCTGGCTGATATCCCATCCTCTGAATTCTGGGCCTGATCTAACAGGTAAACAAGACAGAGAGAGAGATCAGCCGGCATGGGCTGGAGGTGAGAAACACTCTCCCTGGTTAGAGTAGATACTTCCTATAAAGATCACAGGTTCAATCATAGGTTATAGTGAAGAGTGGCTATGAGCTTGTGACTTGGAAAGTTGAAATCTGGCCAGAGCTCAGTAGGGTATGTTAAGCAAACCACTATTGGCTTATAGGGGTCCTGGGAAAAGTAAGAAACAGCCCTGGTTTGCCTTATAGGGCCATTGTAAGGAGGGTGAATGTATATGAAATGCTTTGAACACTGGAAGTGAGCTCGGTGTAGTCAGCAAAACCTTTCTTACAGGAAGTAGGCAACTATCTGCGTTGTCCCTGAATTGCTTGACCTTGGGCTGTTTTCAGAACATTTGCACAGCATGGTCACAAGATCTGTCGTTTTAT